TAGGTTTAAGCGTGGTTTAAACGAATAGCGTGGTATAGTACATATAAATCACGTATTATCAAAAAAATACCATATACGTGGTTTTGCCATTAATTAGTTTTGTCAAAATTTAACCAAATTTTTAGTCATCTAATACAGATTTTTTTTTTAGTAGCGCAGAATCTTCCTATATGGCTATATGTAATAAAGAGATTTAGCTAAGTTCAACGCATTGCATTAAACGGACAGCATCAAAATGTGTGTGTTTTAATGACGTAATTCTTCATCTGTGTAAAAAAGAAAACCAATTCTTTGACTAATTAACCGGATTAGCACTATACGCATTTAATTAAAACGTATTTTAAGGAAATCTGGCTAAAGAAATAGCGTTAGCCGTTGGGGAAATTGCTTAGTTAACTCTTCATTGGAGCGAAACCATTTCATTGTTAGCTGGTAATTATCAAGTAGATTAATATTATACTCATATACACTGAACCAACCCTAATCTCCACAAGAACACCTTTTTATTTTGTTTTTTTGATAATGGTATATTAAAAGGTGGCTGTAAATTTTTTTTATCTAAATGTTGGGAAGTGAAAACATGTGCTTATCTGCCAAAAATGAAAAATGTAGATAGAGCATTGAATAAATATAGATGGAAACTATACATTATAGCATAGATACAAATGAGAGATTATATATGGTTGTTTGATAGCCTTTGGGATTTGCTTTTGTCTGAGAATAAATCTGATTTTACTGATTTTGAAAAGATATTTGGAAATTTTGTATGATCAATATATATTATTAAACAATTAGAGTTTTCTTCTCCGTTTTTTTTAACATAAATACTTGCATCATGTATTAGTCTAAAAAAATTATGTGAATGAGAATTTTAAGATGCGTATGGGTCACATGGGTCCTTTTTCCCTTTCATCGTCTCTTTGTGATCCGTCTAAAGTCGTACAGATTTGTAATTTGTCATAAATTATCAACTAGCCCAACTTTTTTTTTTTTTCTGACATCACAACTCATTTATATCTCATATTCATCAATAAGTTCTCAGAGCTTGACTGTTTCATTATTTATCTGTGTAGCTGTCTCTGTTTTAGCAATATCTCTACATAGTACAACTCTTTTTTTGGACCAAGATTATTTATTAACATGTAACCAAAAAAAAAAAAAAACGAATCTTAAATTTTTACATCGTACCAAAATCATCTCGCTAACACTATTGGGTTTTTCTCAGACTGGTAAGTGAAAGTGCATTAATACTTAATTTTTACCAAATTAATTAGATCGATACTTAGTTTTTATTTTGATTTCCTTAAAGCTATCCTAACTTCGTAATTTTTTTTTTATTTATGGTTAAAAGTAACATATTTATATCTTCATCAATATACGTTAGTAAATGTGTGCTTATTGTGCTTATCATAGTAGGGATGGATGCAAAACTGAATAGTGAATACGTGTATTAGGTAACATATTTAGATATAGACTTTAACTTTTTTTTAACTACACAATTCTCACTTAGCAGTAG